GCCAGCCCGCGGGGGCCGCCGGCCTGGGTCCACTTCCCTTCCTACCCGGTGTTCCCGGGACCACGGCTGTGACTGCCCCGAGTCGGCAAACACGGCCCGTTTTGCATTCACACCTGTAAACTTACTCATTCCTTTAATTTATGTAAGGTTTTTTTGTACGCAACTGTTTGAGACGGATTTTGGTTTTCTACTGTCACGTGAGAACCTTTGGCCCCGGCAACACGGCTTGTGTGAGGAGAATAAAGTGCTGCGGTAAACGCCAGTGTCCTGCTTGGGGGCGGGCGCCGGCCGGGCTGGCCACCCAAGCGCCTCTGGGCTTGGGGCAGGCCAGGTGTGCTCTCGGGTGCCAGGTGTTTCCGTGGGGAGCGCGGGGGTGGGCTTGGCAGGGCTTCTGCAGGGGTGGGGGCTGTGTCTGGGTCAGCGTAGGGACTCGGCCTGTTTATGCCCAGAGCCGTTGTTGGCCAGGACAGCTTGAGTGAGGGCCCCTTCCTGCCCCAAACCCTTCTGGCCTTGTGTCCAGTTTCCTCCCCCCATGCTGCCCCTTTGTGCTGAGGGTAGCACTGACCACGGCCTACCAGCCCGCCGTACTCCACTGCTGTGCCATGTAGGGGACACTGGCCATCCAAGCCTGCTCAGGGGAGGGTCGGCGCGGTCTGAGGGACCGCAGGCGTCCTCGGCTGCCCCAGGAGCTCTGGCCTGGCCGCCCCGCTGTGCGCTGGCACCGGCGGAGCCCTGGCTGTGGGTGGGGCTGTTCCCCTCAGTGCCTCCAGCAAGCAGAGGCCCAGCTGTCCGCTGGGAGCAAAAGGCTGGTGAAGGACAGCGTTGGGGTGCGGCCGGAACAGGGAGACCAGAAGTAGCTTGAATACAAAGTTTTTAGAAGTCAAGGCGAGACTGGCAACCCCATCAAAGTGGGCTGAGGGGCCTCTGGTGGCTCAAGGGGTCAAAGCACGCTGCAACGCCCCTTCCGTCCCCAGCCAGAGGGGCCCAGGGCTGGCGCAGCTGACCCTGTCCCTCCGCTGCTCCCCTCAGCAGTGGGTTTCAGTCAGTCGGCCTGCTCTGCTCCCCACTCTGTCTCTGAGGAGTCTTCTCACCTCTGACCTGCACCCCAGTTCTTGTGTGCATCAATGAAACCTTAAAAAAAGGGCCAAGGATTTGAATGCACATTTTCCCCAAGGCGGCCATGGGGTTGCAGGACAGGGGGCCCCTGGCTGCGATGCGGCTCTGAAAGGAGCCGAGTTCTACAGGCTGCAGGCAGGGCCCCCCACCCCCACCCCCAGGGACAGGCGCCAGGTGGACAAACCCAGGGTCAGCAGAGGCTTGGCGGGAGAAGGGGCCCAGTGAGGGGCAGAGTGTTGCTTGGAGCCAGGAGGGCGGTGTGGAGCCTGCCCGAGGCCGCCGCGCGCCACCCTCGGAAACGCCGAAACGGCCCCTGGCCCTGGCGTGGTGTGGCGCGGTGGAGAGCCGGCGGCACAGAGCACCCGCCGCCCACAGACAGGCCGCCACTGCCACACCGCGCCCCGGAGCACGTCCCCGAGGCCACACCGGAGCGGCTCTCCAGGGCCGACCTCAGGTCTCCTCCGGCCCGGACACGCAGGGCCTGGGCCCTGGCCGCTCCCCCGGGGGGCCTCGCCAGGCCCCTGAGCCCCGGCCTCACACTCGGCCACGCTGAACGGCCACAGCGAAGCGACCCCCAGAACCCCGAGGCGCGGCCAGCCCACCCCGCGCAGCTCCAGCCCTGGGCACCCGCCGGGCAGGAGCGAGGGGACCTGGGGGCAGCCCGGAGCCTCGAGAGGGGCGGTGGCTCCCCAAGTGCCCTGGGGCCGGGGCCCGCGCCGGCTTCCTCCAGGCGGACAGGACAGTCCCCAAGCAGCGCCCGCCGGCTGCCGCGTGGCCCTCGCGCCCCCGAGAGGCTTCGGTTCGCGGTTCTCATTTCTTGAAAATGTTTCACGAGAGCAGAGGTCTGAGCTCCCGGTGATGTGAGAGGCTCCCTCAGGGCCCTCGCGGCCGTGAGAGCCAGACTGCGGCGGCCGCGACGCCCACCTGGCCCAGGGTCCGCGCCCCCCGCCGCCCGGCCGGCGCCCCATTCGACAAGCGGGTACGTAGCGCAGCTCTTTAAACTTTGTTTTTATTTACTTACTTATGGTGCTGGGAGAGCTGGTGCAGGCGCCGTGCGGGGTGAGGCGTGCGCGGCGTCAGCGGGAGCAGGACGGGCGGAGACGGGGAGACAGGTCTGCTGCGCCCGGGGGCCCTCCCTGGCCGGCTGGCCGCGGGCGCAGCGCCCTGGCTGAGACACCCCTGCGCCCCGGGAGACCCTAAAGCATCCTGACTGTGGAAAACAAGTTCTCCCCCCTGAGTACGAGCCTGGCCCCAGCCGCGCCTCCCCCGAGGCCCAGCAGCACCCCCGGCGGCCTGGGCTCTCAGCTGCAGCACCCCAGGAGGACACGGAGACTCACGTGCCACCCCAGGTGTCCCACGGGAAGGGGCAGGGCCCGGGCGCCTGGAGGTTGTGTGGGCTGAATGCGCTGACCAGGGCGGGCAGC